TCCGGACAACATGCCAAAGGTAACTGGGATGACAGGATTGGCTGCTTGATTCCTTTCCGCTTGGGCGTGGCACTCCTCCTTATAAAAGGCACAGAACTTAATAAACAAATTTGGGGGAAGGACTGCCTTACATAACATCTTCCAGTCTTGAGTGGTGCAGGGCTGATAGGCTAGTCCCTGAAGGATAGTTTCTGCCCATGGAGAATTAGGGCCATCCTCGGCAACAGCCTTTTTTAGTTCTTTTAAATCGTGGGCTTCCCAAGGATACCAGCGGGCTGGTCTGTTGCCCCTGGATTAACATTAACAGGGTAGGCTTGAAATGAAGTTTTTAGTTGATCTATGGGATTTCCCCATGTATCTTCAAGTGGTTCGGGTTTACTGAAAAGAGGAGCTGAAACCGGGAAAGCTTGGGGTTGTTTGGAAAAAGGCAGGGGTGGGCTTTCAAATTTAGCCCAATTGGTATTTTGGAGCAGAGTCTTATGACCCTGCTTTTCTTCTACCCTATCACCGAAAGGGGAAAGACCGGGATAGAGCTTTGCACAAGGGGCCCCGTTGGCCATTGGTTTGGGCTGTTGATCACCCTTTCACTAATTGTATTGTCCTGTGCTCGCTCCTCAGCAAAAGCTGTCCAAATGCACTCTGTACGCGGGGAGTCTGAGTCGTCTTTAGCGCTAGGCTTAAAACATAGTTTAAGGGCGGATACAGTGGGATAAAAGCCTAAGGGTGGCTCGACTCTTTGTTGGACTTCCCTCTTCTGAGCCAGGGNGGATCATGCAGGGTTTTTGGCTGTCCCGTGGAAAGGAAAAGATGAAAGTTGTATGAGGCGCTGTCTTCACGTGCGGCACCAGCTGTTGGGCGTCTCCAGCGGCCACACGGGACCCCAACAGGTTTTTCCTTTCCCTAGAGGGTTGGAGCCAAAGGGATTGCCCTTTCCTCCCCCCACCCCCCACCCCCAGGACGTGGGGCAAAAAGAGATTCCAAGAGATGGGTGAGCACGCCTCTGCTCTCCCAGATAGGGAACAAATACACACACGCAGCGGGGGTTCTGTCAGGCAGTTACATTTATCCTAACACAAAAGATCATATTTATATGCTTAGCAGGCAGGGATTTCTAAGCTTAGGCCAATACTTGAAAAGGTCAAATGTGCACGTGCCTTGCCTCTCTATGCTTAGCCCTCCCCCTTAACTTCCTTTGGGTGCCACCTTTTATCCGTTTAGGCCATCTGTTGTTTTTGCTTAGAAAAAGGGCGTGGCCCCATAAAACCTAAGTTTCCCTTACCGTATTTTGAATAGTATTCTTAACCAATTAGGCATTTTATTTGACTAATATATTTGGCTTATATATTTCTTCTACTTTCACTGTCTGCCACCTATTTTTTTAGGTCCTCTTCTCTTTGACTTTAATTTCCTCTCCATTTCTGAATATTTTCATGCTCTTCTTAAAACTATCTCTGCCTGTAGTTTCTTCTAAAACCTTAGCCCATTTGAAATTTTCTTATATTTCATTAAAGAGTAAAACAAAAATAAACCCAGTTTCCCATCAAGGAGTATAAAAAATAGCAGATTATTCCTGGATGATCTTTATATTTACACCAATAGTTGAAAATGTAGCCATTACCTAGAACATATGGACACAAATTAGTAGTGTTGCTTGAAAATTTGTCCCAGTATTTATTGTTTAGAAATTATCTCTGAGTTTGCTCTTTGGTTGATATGACTATTTTTTTCTTCGTCTAATCAGTGTGTGTGTGTGTGTGTGTGTGTGTGTATTTATTGTTTAGAAATTATCTCTGAGTTTGCTCTTTGGTTGATATGACTATTTTTTTCTTCATCTAATCAGTGTGTGTGTGTGTGTGTGTGTGTGAAGTTGAATCACCTTTAAGGCTTTTAGAAAGTCAGAAATATTGATAAATGGCTATGAACAAAACTAAAATTTTGGCTTTGGCAAATTTATACACAATTAACTTATAAAGATTATTTATTTGGGGATCCCAATCTTATGATTTATTACGTCTACTTTTTGAATTAAAAAGCATATTTCCTCACCAAGGACATAATTCATCTTGAATTATTAAGAAAAAAATCTTAAGGTATTTTATTCATTTTCAGTACCAATAAAAAGTATCAGCAGTAACATAGTAATTTAAACATGACAGAATTCTTGTTCCATCTCTGAAGTGAGTTTTCTCAATGTTCGGTGTGGTTTCAATAGTTAAGACAGAAGCAGGCAAAAGATTTAAAGACCTTTGACAACTTGTATTTTTGAAAAAACAGTTTTGGAAGTTGAAATATTCATGTCTTGACTATTTTGAATTCATCATCTTATTAATTTTAATACCACTAACTGCCTGTTAAAATGTACTTTTGAAGTATTACAGATACTTTTCTGAATTTAGATTATATAATTTCAACAACATTTTGACCCATCTACTGTATTCTTAATGAACTTTGTGCTTTAAATGATCTTGTAAACTGTTTTATGTCACTGGGGACTGTGGTAGCTTTCTTTGTTTAGAAATTTGGGAAAGACCTGGGGAGAAAAATTAGTTATTTGTGATTTTTTTTATTGTCTTCCACATTTATGAAATAAGAATATCAGAAGGAAAATCTTACAGAATGTAAATGTCGAATTATAATTTACGTAAGCACACCAGCTTTTAAATGTTAAATGTTTATTTCATAGATTAAACTGGAATTTGTTGCATAAAAATAGTACATATGCATATGAAACTATACATGAATAGGTTACTATTTCCTTTTAGTTACTGCATGACATAATTATAGATAGTTTTATATTGGCATAAAGTAAGTTTCACTATTTTAGTTAGAATGAACTTATAAAATGTCATAGAATATGCTCTGGAATTAAAATTTGTAGTCATGACAGAGGATTTTTGTGATGTTATAATCGAACTTGCAATTATGATGAAAATGTTGATGTAACTTTATATGTAATCTGTGTATAACATCCTAATACAACTCAGCAATCAGCAATGTCACATGTGTTGAACACTCTGCACCTGTGGTAACCTGACAGTCACCTGCAAGACATGTAACTAACCTTAGCACTGGGCAAACATTAGCTCGCCAAGGCATCATGCTGCCTTTTCACTTTAGGGACTATTTGTTTCCACCACAACAAATCAATGCAGAAACAGTTTTGGTATAACATCCTAATACAACTCAGCAATCAGCAATGTCACATGTGTTGAACACTCTGCACCTATGGTAACCTGACAGTCACCTGCAAGACATGTAACTAACCTTAGCAGTGGGCAAACATTAGCTCACCAAGGCATCATGCTGCCTTTTCACTTTAGGGACTATTTGTTTCCACCACAACAAATCAATGCAGAAACAGTTTTGGAGTGGTCCCTAGGGTCATTTAGGAGAGTTCACAAATTAGTTCCCTTATCCTCACAGCATTTTTATCACCTAGATAATTGGTGATAAAATTTTTATTTAAAATTTCAAATTAAACCTATACCCGAAAATAAGCAAATAGATTTTAAGCTGATAACTATAAAGTGCATTCAGAGACCAGAAGTCATTTCGGAAGCTTGCCACTGTTGCTTAGGAAATTCAATCCTGCTTCAATTGGGGAACACTCATAATAATTAACCCCATAGCTTAGCTTTTTCTCTGATTTCTACAGAATAGGAATAAATTTCATAGTAAATTCTGTTTCAAATTTATTACACCTCAGCTACTGCCTAGCATACTCAACATTAAGATATACATTTCCATTATTTTTAAAGTAATATAAACAAACAAACCAAACCAAAATACAAAAGCTTTAACAATCAGAGACATATTCTAGTGTTTGGTTTCCCATAATTCCAATTATCACATGACTCTTTTAGAGTTGCTTTAATTCATTCTGTAGTAGTCTTTCATTGCCAGCCGTCACTAACCTTCCATACCTTGGGTTCACAGCTTTTTATTTTAGCATATCGTTGTTTTTCATTTATAACCATCAACTGCATCATGTTCACCAGATATAAGTGTAGTTCTTTCCACATAATATTTTGTCTATTAAAGTATTAAATTTGCTGTCACACTTTTCTTTTAAGCATTCTGTGCTATGTTCTGTTCAGTGTCAGTGTCTTTAGTTCTGATTTTTCAATTTTGTCCCTCTCCTTTTCCTTGACTTGTTAGTCTGATCCAACCTCTTCTACCTCATCTGATGATTATCAATATGTTATGGAAGCTAAACTACAAGAAATGATCTCCATACGTAGGAAGGTAGTCCTACTGGACTTTACTTTCTATTGCTAAATAGAATCCATCTAAGTTTTTATTTTCATTTATAAAAATTATGTTACTTTTATTTATTGATAATCGACCATCTGTGCAGTTCAGTGCTTCAGGAGCTTAAGATTGGACAATGGCAGGTTTGTGTTCAAACCATGCACAGTCTGCATGTTACATTTGGCTGATTTCATTGCTCATAAATAACTCCAATGTTTTGCTGATGCTTGGATGTAACAGGCCTTTGTAGCTGACACATTTCAAGCAATGCTGTTCAGCTGCCTGTTTAAAGAAAGTTTATTTTTTGAAAACTATGTTTGCAGTTGGTAGTAGCTTGCTTTACATTTTATTTCAATTTATTTAGAAGAAAAGAGTTAACCAAATCTTACATTTCAGATGCATTCTTCATATTTCTTAACAGGCTGAAGAGAGGCATGGAAATATTGAAGAACGTATGAGACATCTGGAAGGTCAACTTGAAGAGAAGAATCAGGAACTCCAAAGAGTATGTATATGAAGAATCCCTGCCCCTCTCCCCGATCATCAGTTTATGGATTTATATTCTACACATAAAAAGAAAGTCTTTCTTGATTATGGGTTATATTTAAAATCTTATGAATGTTCTCTGTGCATTTAAAAAAGAGTTTCTCCCAATTTAATCAAAACAGATATAAAATTAAATCCCAGTTAAAGCTAGCAAAACTATAAAAACATACTCTTACAGTTTTTAAATGGTTTTTCATGTCAAAAAAAAATTTTTTTTCTTTTTCTTGAATGTAAGGCTAGGCAAAGAGAGAAAATGAATGAGGAACATAACAAAAGATTATCTGATACTGTAGACAGACTTCTGACTGAATCCAATGAACGTCTACAGCTCCACTTAAAGGAAAGAATGGCTGCTCTAGAAGAGAAGGTAAAATGATGGAAGGGTAGAATCACATGAACATTTAGTGATGTTCTTATGATCATGTTTGTCTTATGTGCTGCTGCAGTCATTGTGTTGGTCAGATCCACTTATTTTTCTTAGTTTAAAAAATGCCTAACATATTCTTAAAAGGGAATGAATAATTTCTGTAAAAATGTATAAGATCCATTTTAAAATAAATAAAAAATGCTGCATAATATATAAATCTTTTATGTTACCATGTTCATATGAGGCAAATGTATTAAAATGTGCTGTGCTTTTGTGATGAAAGTATTTTATTGATCCTTCACCTGGTATACAAAAAAGAAAGGTGATCAGACAAAAATAAATATTTACAGTACGTGGGAGGGCTTGCTTTGTTTGAACTAGTCATATGTCTCAAATGACTGATACCTACTACCATACCTGCTACCAGCCAAAATGTGAGTGAGTTTATATCAGCAATAAAACTAGTGTCAATCACAGTAGAGGATTGAGGAATCCAATATTTTCAGCTGAATTATTTCAGAAAAAGTGCTTCTGTACAATCTGCAATTTGACTCACAATATAGTATGTCTAATTGGTAGTTGGCTGTTGCCAGACCAGCAAGAGTTATGTGAGCTGGTTGCCAAATCTAGAGCATAAACAAAGGTAAAGGCTAAAACCCAGGTGGACAAATCACTTTGGAAATTCAGATTGAATGTCAATCACTACTTTAGTTAGACATTTTCCCCTGATATGTGAAGTAAAATAGAGAAATGTTACAGTGAAAATGTTAAAGTAGTTGTTTTTTTTGTTTCTTTTTATTATGAATATTCATGAGATAGAAAGCTAATTGTCACCCCTCGTGCCCATGATGTGTGAGCCAGATTCCTACTGGCAGCATACCCATTACCAGAAATTACTTTTGTACCCTGTGTCCCCCACCCAATTATCCTCCAACCTCCCTTCCCCGCCCCCTTGTGCCCCCCCCACTCCACTTTGTAGCCCTAGGAATGTTCCCTCCCTCTGTAAGACCAACGCACGACTGTGGTCTTTCTTTCCTTCTTTCTCTCTTAGCTCCCGCATATGAGTGAGCACATGTGGTATTTATCTCTGTGTGCTTTGCTTATTTCACTCAACATAAGTTTCTTTAGTTTACCTGTTAGAAAGTCATAAGTCATGTCTTCTTCCCATAAAACTCCAAATACATGTCTGTTATGCAATTACTACAATCTAAGCTTAATTTGACTCTACAAATTCAAAAGGAATGGACTATTTTAAATCATGCTTTGTAGTACTATGAGAAATATATAGTGAAGTAATAATAACAATAATACTTTTATTGTAAGGATCATTTTAATTATCTATGATGCAACTTATTCCCATATGCCCTCATGACATGTAATGTTAGTTTTTTGGATAGCTAGAATCTTATTTTTATTTCTTTAATAATTTAACTATTATAAAAAATTGTTAATTCTGCATTTGAAATAGATGACCAAAAGATAAACTCTTAAAAAACATCATTTCATGGTTTCTTTTTTCTTCAGATAATAAAAATGTCTTCATCTGTATCCTTTATAAGCCCTGTAGCTAATATTTAGTTTGTTACTCATTATTTTTCATTTGGAGAATAACCTAATTGTTTCTAATTTAAAAAGCAGTCTGAGAAGGGGCAAACAGAAGTAGCCTGAAAGGTAATATTTATTCCATTTGCCCATCCAAGTGTTACAAATTAACATTTTCTATTTAAATTATGTATCTCTCAAAATGTTAAGGTGTTGTGTTTAAAGATTCCATTGAAACTCCTTTAATAATTTAACTATTATAAAAAATTGTTAATTCTGCATTTGAAATAGATGACCAAAAGGTAAACTCTTAAAAAACATCATTTCATGGTTTCTTTTTTCTTCAGATAATAAAAATGTCTTCATCTGTATCCTTTATAAGCCCTGTAGCTAATATTTAGTTTGTTACTCATTATTTTTCATTTGGAGAATAACCTAATTGTTTCTAATTTAAAAAGCAGTCTGAGAAGGGGCAAACAGAAGTAGCCTGAAAGGTAATATTTATTCCATTCGCCCATCCAAGTGTTACAAAATAACATTTTCTATTTAAATTATGTATTTCTCAAAATGTTAAGGTGTTGTGTTTAAAGATTCCATTGAAACTAGGTTACCATGGTAATGCACCAATAAAGATGCACCAGGGAAGGAATCAAAGAAAATTCTTGAGCAATAAAACATTAATCTACATATTTAAATATTTTCTGTTTAATTTATTATTTTCTTTTTTCTGTAGAATGTTTTAATTCAAGAATCAGAAACTTTCAGAAAGAATCTTGAAGAATCTTTACATGATAAGGTATTCTGGAAACTTGCATTTTTTTGCCCATTTTTTTAATTTCACACTGATGAATGTTTTGTAATAAAATAAGTTGGATAAATAATTTTAGGATGTTATATTTTTAAAACAATTTTAACCTTTACATTATACTTACAGAAAAGTAAAAGTACATGTAGAGCTTGATGAATTTTTACAACCCAAACACACTAAAAATCAGCACTCTGGAAGCTCCCTTCACATTAGCTTACATTCACTTCTCTTTTGTTAAAGGATAATTATTATCTTGACTCCTGACATAAAAAAAAGAATCCTTTTGTCTTGCTTTGTTTTTCATATAAATGGAATAAAAATGTATGCACTAATTTTGTCTAGTTTGGAAAATTATTTCAACCAAAGTATATTAAATAATTACGTATATGAATCATGCTAAATTATATATGTGCAAACATGATCTTAACTCCAAAGTAGCTGAAAAATCCAACTGAAGAGAGAGAACACACCTTTGACAAACCAATGAGG